CATTATATACATGCATATATACATATATGCACATATATATATATATATATATATATATATATATATATATATATATATATATATATATATATATGCATTTATATACCCACGCAAACATGTGTTTGTGTTTATATATATATATATATATATATATATATATATATATATATATATATATATATATAATATATATGATACATATATATATATATATATATATATATATATATATATATATATATATAATATATATTATATATATATATATATATATATATATATATATATATATATATATATGCATACATATATACTAACATTGTATTTATATATTTTGAAGATAGTGGCGTAGATTAGTTATCAGTTACATATTTTGAAATAATCTGAAAATTAATCATATTTGTGCAATATTGACATTTTTTGTTTTTAATTAACTTTAATTCTTTCAGAATTTCGTATTTCTACAAAAGAATACGATAATGGTCATATCAAATTGTTTGGGTGTGAAGTTGTTTATGAGAGTAGTTTGAGTGTGTGTGTGTGTGTGTGTGTGTGTGTGTGTGTGTGTGTGTGTGTGTGTGTGTGTGTGTGTGTGTGTGTGTGTGCATGAGCGCGTGCGTGTTTGTGTGTGCGTGTGTTTGTGTTTAAAATTTACGTAACCATAAAGTGATACTTCTTCTTACCACAGCTACAAAGATACCTTTAAAGAACGCTACATCATAAGAGCAGATGTAGCCGACAGAGCTGTAAAAGTTTCCCCATTCTTCGATATCCACTTAGAAAAATAAAATCTACTTAGAAATAAGAAATAGTCAAAGGAAAATAAAACTACGTGTGCAAAACGATATAAAAGATATCTACATTACTATTCTTTTTTTAAATAAAGGCAGCACCATAAAATAATGGCGTCTTCCTCTGCTAGTGTGAACATATAATAATCATTCAAGTGCAGACAATGAATAGGAATATCAAAATTACATTCGTCTAATCTATCGAAAAAATAATGCAGCTATATATATATACATGCGCATTATCTCCGCATGCAAAAATGAAGTCTGATGCATATTAGCCATGTTTTAAGGATGATAACCATTATGTCATGATATATTACATCAGGGATTCACTACAAATGGTGTATTTACAATATGTATTTATATGAGAAAGATTTTTTTCATAATGAGGGAAGGGAAAAAAAGAATGACTTTATTCTAGCATTTACTTGTTGATGTAAAAAAAAAAAAGATTTATGGATCCGTGATGAAACTAGAATATCATTATTCTATTCAATTAAAGCTAATTGGTAAAGTTAAATGCATATTATCAGGTACAAAATGAAATACATTTTAGGTAAAAAAAAAAAATCTACACACATTAACTTCTACACTTTCCTCAAATGCTCATTCCTCCCTTAAATCACCAACCTATCCTATTTTCTTCCTCTATCCTTGTACCCCCCCCTTCCCCTATCCCCCCAAAAAAAACACTTTTCCCTTCCCTTTTCCCCATTACTCTTCCCTCCACCCTCCCACCTGCTTACCTCCCCTTTCCGTAGTGAATAGCAGAGAAGATGGAGTTGACGACCTGACTCCACAAGAGGGTCATGATTCCGAAGAAAATACTCCAGAGCCACTGTTCCAGGTTGAGGGCCGAGGTGGAGAAGGCGAGGCCCCCCAGCTGGACGATCACGACCTGGGTGGGGGGATTGGAGGTCAGGAGGAGGGAAGGGAAGGGGAGAGATGGGGAAAGATGGGGAAGGGAGGGGAGGAGAGAAGGAGGAAGAGAGGGGTGGGAAATAAGGAGGAAGGGGGAGGGAGGGAGGGGGGAGGGAGAGGGAGGGAGGAGAGAGAGAGAGAGAGAGAGAGAGAGAGAGAGAGAGAGAGAGAGAGAGAGAGAGAGAGAGAGAGAGAGAGGAGGAAGAGAGGGGTGGGAGATAAGGAGGAAGGGAGAGAGAGAGAGAGAGAGAGGGAGGGAGGGAGGGAGGGAGGGAGGGAGGGAGAGAGAGAGAGAGAGAGAGAGAGAGAGAGAGAGAGAGAGAGAGAGAGAGAGAGCAGGAATGAAGGAAAAATGGGTGGGGTGAGGTCGGGTAGAGAGTTAGTGGGGAAAAGAGATTAGATTGATTCGTGGACCTGTTTTGTGACTATTGAATAGAGTGTCGGTTTGCGATCGAGAGACGATGATTTTGAACAATTAAGACAATGATAACAGTTGTATTCGTGAATCTATTGTCATCACAAGACACCCGTGGTTACTGTCAATACACCCGAGACTACCATCGCCTATAACAGGGCTACTTAACTGGCTACTCAACAGGACCTTCTGAGTGTTGTAGCGGGATCCCAGGCTCCAGGAGAAAAGTATAAGTAAATAAAATGAAGGTCCTGCCTCGACTTTGACTTACTAATGCTGGTTTTATTTTCATGACTGCATGTCAAAAATTTATCCGGACCTCTGTCTAACTGGACCTTTGCTCATAATAATTGAATAGCCATGTCCTATACCA